CTGAATTCGCTTTGATGCTCAACTTGCGATTCTTCAATCTATATCTACACAAAAAACAAAATATTAATCAGATCAAACACATTGCATTTGCCTAAATTGAGAAAAAGATAAAGAGTTATTCGACATATTATATATTTGCATTTAAAGATAATTAATAACAAAATAATTGCAATTTTTTTTTAATCAATTATTTCGATATCTTTTCTTTTTTCACATCACAAACATCTCTGATTATTTCTGTTCCCTAATCATCCTTAATTATAAACATATAGATATGTAAAGTGGACACTTACTTATCAAGCTCAGTATCGCTGTGGGCAAAGGTACAGCTGTTGGATCTTGGGCAGGTACCGCGCAGGGTTAGATCCCTGCACATGCTGACTTTATACTTGCCGGTTGCCAGACCAGAGCCAGAGCTTCCACCAGGTCCGCCACCACCTCCATTGTCCTGCGCTGCTGATTTTCGATTGCTGCCACTGATACCGCCACCTCCATGTTGCCGCACAAAGTCTACTAGCGCAGCCACTACTATCCTTACAGCCTCCAGAGCCGCCCGACACTCAGCCAGGCTCGGTGGTTCAAGTTTCTAAAATAACAAAAATTTTATATGTATAAAATAAATTTATACATATACAAGTAAATACAAGTATTTACATATTCTAAAAACTTAATGAGATTTAATAACACTAATCAATACTATTGTTGGAATAAGCTGAACAGCAAATATCAGCAAATTAATAAATCATACTAATTGTTCTCTGTTTATAAAAGCTTTTTATTGCGGTGCAAAACTTTTTATTTTAAAACTTTATTTTATAAAAATTATACATAAAATATATGTAAATTTATAGAACAACACACTTACCAGGACTGGGATCAATGGCAGCTAATAATTCTAATTGTGGCCTGAGACCGCTCAGTTGTCCAGGGTCAGGGGTGCGTTGTAACGCTATTACCAATTCCTGAACACTTTGAGCAAATGACTGCGGTGTTTGCAATTTGTCGATGATGCTCTGCATATGAGATTTATGGGCAGTATCGCCGTAAAGCAGCGCCGACCATTGGTCGGGCGCAATACGCAGACCAGCTTCTGTAGCAATCTGTACAATTTGCGCATCATGTTCGCGTCTCAAAGCCTCGTAAGTGCGAAACTCCTCTTTCAGTTGCATCAACGACGAGTCACCCTCGCGCTTCGAAACCTTATAACACAAAAAAATTAGAATGATAATTGAACACTATTACATTATCAGAACTGAGCAAATTCTCTTGATAATAATATTCTCCTACAATCCTTACTCTTATTCTAATAATATATATATGCACAGAATAAATAAATCCATAATATCTTAGTTTTTCACTCGTTCTTCATTACTGTGACGTGATCAAGTAAATGTAATATAGTAGAAAAAAGGGTAAAAAATATTACGTTAGAAATCTTCAGCTTGTCAGCTGTTGCGAGTACACAAGTTTAGCAAGTGTAACAGAATTTAAATATAATTATAAAAATATATATTAATTAATTCAACAAATTTGGTTTTAAAACGTGCAGATACTTTTGTCACTTACTGTATATTACCTTGAAACAGCTCGCCCGATAGAGAAGTTGCACCACATGGCCGATGCTGGTTTTGCTTGCTTGTGGAAAGTGTGGTTCCAGTCGTTGCACTACAAACATTACTAACACCTTCCGTGATAACGCTGAACCATCCTCCAATGCCAATAATACGAGCTTGAGGACTTCCTCTTGCATTGCTAAAAAGATAATAAAAAAAGGATAACAATTGTAGATTTTAAGATATTCGAAGAAACAAAACTAACAAAATCAGTCTATTTAAAAAGACTAGAACAATACAAGAGCGCGCTACGCGCGCGCACTTATTATGATGATTTAATAATTATGAAATCTAAATATTTTAATAAATTTTTTTTTATTTTAAGTAACCGTCAAAATGACCTTTGCTCTCAAATTATCAAACTATCAGAATAATCTCGATAACCAATCAGCGTCGCGGAAAAGTGTCAACAATACTTTCGATACATTCGAGTATCGATCTTTCATGCCTTTTTTAAGGGTGGAAAGAAAACAAGAAAATTAGACATTATTGAGACCTTTAACATTTCTCTCCAATATTCTCTCTATCATTAACTGCGAAAAGAACATGTCTTGTTTAAATCACCCAATTTAATTAATGACTCATCCTGCAAATAAGATGTACCTGGTCCGAGAAATTGGCAGCCACGAGCGCGCACAGCTGCCCAGAGATTGGCGCTGAGCTGCTGTGGATTCTGGTGCTGCAATATGAGTTCGGTGACGGTGCGCTCGCCAAGACTGCGAGCGGCACGTAGTGCACGCGCCCTCCCCTCTGGTTCCACTAGCTGACAACCAAGTAGCGTTACTAGTTTGCGTTGCATCGGTCGAGATACCAATCCTCCACCACTGTTCCCGATGCCTGTGTATCAAGCAAACAACAAATTTTTATTTAATAACAAATACAATTTTAACATAATTCATAAGGAAATACAATAATCTATAATGTCCATTATCTTTTAATCGCTAGTACATTAAATATTTATTTAAGATCGATATTGTACATACCTGTGGTACTGGTAGTTTGACATGGTTTAAGATAAAGAGCGAGTTCCTCGATGCAATTTTTGGCTCTCAGATAGTTGACATGTTGATCGGCCGGCAAGAGCTTCTGATAATTTTGCTGCTGATTTGACACAGATGTAGATGAAGCAACAGCAGGAATAGTATTCCCCAGCAATTGCAACAGTGCCTCGTTCACCGGCAATCTCTCAACATCAGTATTGATAACGCTCTATGCAAAAATAAGAAAAAATAAATAACTTTTAATATACCTTTCTCCATGTTTTGACCATATAAAATTTACACATTAAAATTTATAAAATGTGTATATTTATGTTGTTACCATACCTGATCAAAAGGACATTGTTTACGATGCAAATTGGCGAGGCAAGCGCGACATATGGTATGACCGCAACCAAGTGATATGGGGCCTCGTATAGCTGCGTCAAAGTCATGGCAGCAGATTGGACACGACAGAAATTCAGTCCACTGTGGTGCCTGTATCGGCATTCTACATTAGAAAAAAATACAAAACAAATTATAAATATTAATTATAAATGTTTGCAATGTTACCATCTATAATACCATATAAATGTATAGCATAAAAAACAAAATTTTTGTAAGATTAAAATGCAAAAATATGTGAAATAAATTTTTTTTACACACTGATATAAAAATCATTACTGAAATTCGCAAAAAAATAGTATATTAATTGATATGAATGATTACAATTTTGATGCATTAATTTCAAATGTCGCGCGTAATCTCGCATTCCAATTGCGGCGCATGCTTATATCGCTACATTCTGTCGATATGACACATTTTCTAACCTCAGAAATGTCACTTGATTATCATTTTTATGATGTAGAGCGATAAATATAACTTTCGAAATCTTGTTGTACAAATAAAAAGCTGTTGAACAAACATAGCTTTATCAAAATTTATCATACAACTCTTATCCTTATAAGATTTATTGCAAGATTAGCAAAAAAGTGTAGTAGAGAACAAACCAAAGAAATTATTTCATAATCATATTTTTCTACAGTCTTTTGATCGAAAGATCACAGTGACATCATCATTAATTATCAATCATTGTTTTCTGATAAAAATTTCTAAGAATTTGCGAGAAGAAAAGTTACGTTGTCATTTGTGGATAAAAACTTGCCGTCATGATGTCTCGATATCATGACAGCAAGATTCCAGGTCCAAAATATTCGTCAATTAATTAATGATATAAAATCGCCGCCTATAAGATATCACCTACCTCGTTATAGCCCTTGCAAAACATCACATCGATCACACTTTTTGCGCATTACTCTTCTCGCGCAATTCTGCGCGATTCGCAGTACAGAATCTCTGTCATACCATAGATTATGCGTACAAACACGATGACAAAATCGGCGACACGCATTTCCGTAACTGCGAGAAACGATCGAATGATCTAGTTTTCTTCGATAATGGAGGATTCACTCCACGTTCGATGACTAATGTGCAAGATATCGATATCCAATAGAAAAATACATTTTCTAGAGACATTATCAAACGCCATTGTTATCTCTAAAAAATCAATTTTTTTATTGGCTATCGAATGTCATGTGTTAGGTCACGGGCGCACTGTGAATGTATCATAATTCTTTTCAACTGAAAGAAACTAGCTTACAGTTTACTGACCTGACCTAGTACAGCGCTCAATTCATTGGATTCGTGTAACATCGGCGCGCGCATGCCGTCCAGCAGCAGTGCGACTGATGCGTGCGTCGCGGTGTTCGAAGGATTGCTGCATTCGGATATATATATAGTGCGTACACACACATACATGTATATGCACCTTACCGCGGCAAGGCTTCGCTTTGCTACTGCGACAGTGCGACGGCGTTTCGTCTTGCCGTGTTATCTGGTTTTTTGTGTCGCGGTGTAGCGTCTTTTGTAGATAATATGCCGGAGAACGGCGGCAGTGCGCCGCGCGTAAGTGTGTCGCCGGCGGCGCGCGTGGGTACGACGCCGCCGCCGGCACACTACCTGCACGAACTGCCGGCCCACGCCGAGGAACGACTTGGACGACTGTTCCAGAGCCTCGACCTCGACGGCAACGGTCGTATTGACGTGCATGACCTATCTCATGCGCTGCGCGAGGCCGGCGTACACTCCCAGTATGCCCAGGTATTTGTTACATTTATACTTCACATTTACATATATAATATTGTGCATATAAATGCATAAAAATTTTACAATATAGATACATTTTTATAATATATTATTGCATCGAGTATTATAAAAATGGAATTTTTATTCCTTTTGGGCACTATAATCAACTTTCTACATTTATCCTTTATCCCACTCTTGCCACTTAAGTATTTTTTTCTAGTTTTTTATGATTGTCCTGTTGGGACATAATTCTACTTTTTACTTGTGAGTATTACTTTTATTTTTGATTGTGTAAGGTTTGTATATCTCTTTAACAGTTTACTATATCTTCTACACCTAAGATGGGAAAAAATCTAAAAAAAAAAAGGATAGTTATAAAAAGAATTGGAGGAAATATAGATTTAGGATTAGTAAAAATTATTGGTAGAAAGGAATGTCTGCGTGTAAAGAGGAAGATTGATATAGCTGAAAAGAGAAGGTTTTTAGTATTAGAAAATTTTCTTGAAATTTCTGATCTTAAAATAAAAATGCATGCAAATTTTAAAATAGAAAATCAAAAGAAAATTACTGAAAAGTGTAGAAAATACAATTAATACAAACATATCTAGAGACTTATCCAAATAGATTTACATAGCTACATAGGCATACAGTGATGTAATGGTACTTTTCCATATTTTAATTGAACAACAATCATAATAAAAAGTTTCTTCGATAAAATTAGTTAACCTCTCTTGCAAATTTTTGGTATAAATATTATTTACTTGATCAAAAAATTTATTGAATATTTAAGTATGACCAATCCACTGTCTATTTCAGATGTTAAATTTTCTCTCTTTAAATAATATAAAAGATTATTGATGTAACAGCAAATTCAATACTTCTGAAGTTAATTTGGCGTTTTTTTATAACAAGTTTTTGTAATGAATCATTATAAAATTTGTTATTAGTAATGTCATAATGTGATGAAATCTGAAATCAAATTATAGAAAATTATATTATTAGTAATGTCATAATGTGGTGAAACCTGAAATAAAATTATAGAAAATGAATAGTAGCATTTGACAAGTTATTGTTTATTGTTGTAGTTAATTTAATGATTATATAATTTGTAAGTATAAACAAAATGATTGAGAGGTGAAAAAGAAAACTTTACAAATATGTAGAAATACATAATTTTTATCAGAGCAATTTACTTTTTAATATTTACATAATAAGTAATAGAAATCTGAACATAGAATTCTAGTATTTACATGTACATTTTAATAATGTTTATTATACATATTTTTATTATGTTTTTTTTTAGATGGAGATAGATTTTTGCTTTTTATTTGAAAAATAATTTCTTTATTTTACAGAAATTCCTGGCTAGATCAGATAGTACTAAAAGTGGCGATATTAGTTTGGCCGAGTTTCTACACTATATTCGCGAACATGAAAAAAATTTGCGACTACAATTCTCTAATCTCGATAAAAATAGAGATGGTAAGCAAATATTTTAGTAAGTCAAACGTGAAGTTTAAGAAACTTGAATCAGAGATTGAGGAATTTTAGCAAACTATCATTTATTATCACTTACAAAACATTTAAGACTAAAATGTAGTTAATGATTTATTTCTGTATATCGCACAGTAATTTTTTTTTTTCTATTTAATTCATAGAACAATGATGAGAAGACAAACCATTTTATTTGTAGGTAGTATAGATTTAGAAGAATTAATAAGAGCCTTTAAGGACCTGGGAATAGAAATTGCGCAAGAGGAAGCGACAAAGTTATTACAACGGTAATTTTATTATTTATAATATATAAATCAATAAATTATGAATTATTTGTTTTAATTATCAAAAGTTTTGCACAACTTATTCAGAAAGAAAACTTAATTATTTAAATAAAACATTGATCATATAACTTCTTTGAAGGAATTTAATTATCATTAATAATATTCATAAATAATATTATTTACTATCAGTTTAGTATTATGAATATTATTGTTACCCCGTTAAAACTTGAAATCAGTTAAAATTAGAATTAACTAGCCAAAATTAGTACTCTGTATCATTTAATGCCTGTAATTAAAACTAGAGTTATTAAAAATTTATCGATTATGATTTATTAGTATTTGAAATAAAAATAAAATGGGATCACATTGGGTAATTTAAAACAAATAAATTTATGTAATATATAAAATAAATAAATTTTAAAGCATTTTAAATCTTTATTACAAAAGCAAGTATGCAAATATAAATTTTTTATTAGAGTTATGAGCAACGCATTAAATTTAATTCCAACTAGTTTTAACTGCAGGCGATAGGTGATACTAGTTTTGACCAGTTAATTCTAGTTCTAACTGAAATCGGGTTTTAACAGTAACATTATCATCAAATAATTCCAACGCTGATATTATTGAATCATGTAATAAATGTATTCACAGCATGGATCAAGATGGAAGTCTTAAGATCAGCTACGATGAATGGCGAGATTTTCTTCTTTATGCACCGAGTACTAATTTGCTCGACATTATTGAATACTGGCATCATACTACAGTGAGTATATAATTTTATGTTACAGTAATCTCTAGTATATAGTATTTTATGTATGTCAAATTTGTTTATCAGCAATTATCAAAATAATTATAAAAAACAACCGTCTATTAAAAAAAGTAGAAATACATTTTGAGAGATTCATGGACACATAACTTCTTGGCAATTTAAATAACTTTATTAAATGGAAATGATACTTTTTGCTTATACATATATATATATAAGCATTAAAAGTTGCTATCGAGACAAAATTCGACATATATACAATCGTACTTTTTAAATATTATCATATGTTTGCTTTAATTCAATTTCGTTATTTTTTTGTTGTACACATACATACACATACGTACATATATGCGTATACCTGATTCTGAACATCAGAACTCACTTATAAATATCCATTTGCTAGATTACGAAAGTCGAATAAGCGTATCTGAAGAAATTCTATGCGACGTTTCCTCAGCTACTTGTTATACTACACATCAATGGTTTTCAATTTAGAATCACGAGATATTTTTATGAACATACATATATGCTTTTACACTCACACACGCCCGACATGCGCATCTTACTGTGCGTGTATATATATATACATACAATAAAGTAGTAAATGTTAATTATCGTAATTACAATGGTCAGTAATTACATTATACTAATCAATTTATATAATAGCGTTTATATAATAATAGTTATTGCATTATAGAAAACAAAAGATAAAAAAGTGGAAAAAGTGCAAGTTAAAAGTTAATGTAAACGTATTATATAATGTAAACTTATAACTTTATCCTCCCATCAGATCGCGAGTAAAGTTCACACTGTGAAATGCGTAACGGCCACCGACTTTGATCATCGTCATCACGCGGATATTTGCCTTGATGACGCGTGCACGTTCTCTGACGTCAGGGAGGCACGAGCAGAAATGAGAGGAAAGAGGAAGAACAGACTTGCAGACATGCGTTCCCCATTTTGGTGGGGCGATATCTGCCTTCGGATTTCCCTCGTGCTCGCTTTCCTCGTTAGTCTTGCAATTGGACTCCGAGCGTTCGTAGCTCGTCTTTTCTCTCTTCAAAGAAAGACTGCTCAGGATCGTCTTATTGGAACAAGACACGCTTTTCTTCGCTCACGTTGGCTATTAAGTAGTTATTAAATCGTTTATCAGTGATTTTTCTATTTTAAAGCCGCCAAATTACTTCATATAATTTTCGTAGACTGCGGAGTCTGCGATCGAAAGATAAAAAAGCAAAAGAAAAATTTCCAAGAATTTGCGTAACCTCGATCAGTGTAAGTTTCTCGCTGGCTAGAAAGTCCGAAAGTTCTGGAAAGTGCATACCTCTCATACTGTGAATGTAACGGACTACACACCGCATGATTTAAGAGTAAACGTGATTTTTAGTGACCACACATAACTTTGGAATTCATATACCATTAAATATATATAAATAATAAAATTAAAGAAGAATATATTAAAAATCGGAAGAAGAAAACTAAATAAATTATATGTGCGTGAAGTGAAATAAAAAATACAATCAAACGATAGAATAAATCAGAGGATTACAGAAAGCATCTTTCCGAGGAACAAAAAGAAGAAAATAACTAAAGGAAAATAGATAAATTGGCAGAATAGTTGAATGGAATAGAACATGAAAGCAAAGTAGGTAGAGAAAAGAGCGGATAAAAAGGACAAACGAAGAATATAATAAAAGAAAAGAACGACAAACAAATAGAAAAATATAAAAAAGGACAAACTCTATCGTGTTTGTGTGTGTAAGAGTGACTTCTCTCAGAGTGAGCGAGCAACGCGGCAGATTTCACGCGGCGGGAGCGTGTGTGCAACCACGTGTCTTACGATTACAGCTGATTAATCGCAGCATGTATGTCCTGAAGAAGCCAAGATTTCTTCATCGTGACAGCACCCCACCCGCATGTCAAGTATGTGAAGAATTTCTGCGGGGCTACCATGAACTTTTACAACGGGTAAGTAGAACGTCGAGAATGTCGTCAAGGAGCCAATTAAATCCCAAGGTTACTCAGGTATTAGTTCTCTATAGGAAAAAAAGAAAGTGTACGGTAGGCAAATGGAATGAGAAAGTAAAAGTAACCTTGAAATGAAAATTTCTGGAACTTTCTTTTAAAAATTCGTTAGAATTTAGAAGGCGTTCTTTACCAAGTGCACTTTTCTTGAACTATAAATTGCTTGGTTGATTTTGAAACTTTTTAATTTCTTTTAATCAATATGTTGAAATGTATTTGCAACTTTTGAGTCATAAACGATTACAAATAAAATTCTTTTTAAAAATAAACTTTAAAGAAACAAATAGATAATTATCTTCTTCAACTAATTGCAAACAGATTTCACTTTAAAAGAAATTGAAATTGAAACTTTGTGTTGAAAATTTAAAAAGATACGTAATACGTAATAAAATACGTTGAAAATTGGATGAATAATGATCGTTTTTTGACGCTTGCTAAGGAAACGTGTCGATTCAAAATTGGCAAAAAATTCACAGTTTGCATAAATGCAAGATATTTTGTAAATGGGATTATATATAGCATTACTTGATGAAGAATTTCGTCGCTGTAACTCGTTTTAACCGGACTTGGTTATTTTTATTTCTTAAATCACGTGAAGAGATCTGGTTCGATTTTTCTGTATATTCTCGTTATACTGAAGATGGCCCGATGATAGACTAGTGAACCTTTGTGACGTAAATAACAAATAATTTACACATTCAGCCGAACGGACCTCTTTTGCTCTTTTATTTGTTATTTAGAATACCTATTTTATTTTGAGTACAGGAAATGTAACTAAACGAAATAGACCTAGGATATGTACTTATAGATTGTCTGGCGCATTGCCCAGGCGAGCTAGGAAGATACTGGTAAATCTCTCTTCAGTTCACAGTCAACCTTATCACTCGGCGATTCGCGATTCCTCTTTTTCTGAGTAACATCCTATTTGTCACGATATCACGTACTGTTATAACGAGTGTATTGCAATATATTGCTTGTTTATCTTCTTACAAAGTCCGGCCGTGTTTCACGAAATTATTACGTCATATTATGTTTGCAAAATAGAATTTATGAGATTGAAAATATTTTACAAAATTGTGTGCAGCAATATATACAATAATCGATTCTGATTATATTAATTTAGTGTTTATACATAATTATTTACATAATTATAAAGGAAAAAATTTCAAGGTGACATAAATGTTTGTAGCAACACGTGTTCGTTAAATTGCGACACAGAACTCTACCTTTGAAAAAACATTTTTCTCGAAAAATTAAAACTTCTTAACTCTGCTTAACAAATACGAATTTTCCAATAAAAATCATTTTTAATAAAATTTATTTTATATTTATTTTTTACTTTTTATCGATTATATCTTATTTGAAATGATGCAAATATGTTTCATATTTTATAAGATATATATTTTAAAAGAAAGTCCATGCAATAAAAAAAATTAAGATTCGTATTATTATCAATTTTCCAAAATATATTAGTGATATTAAATAACTTCTAATGATTAAATAGATGAAAAATGAATAGAAAATTATATAATAATTAAATAAATAATATTATAGTGATTCAGCATAAGTGGTTATTCTCTTTTATTTTTTTATAATTCTAAGTATGTAAATCAAAAGAGAGATAGCTTAAATAAATAGATAAGACTCGAATTTAAGCTTCCAACCGAACTCTATTGTGTGGACACATGGTAAACGATGACTCATAAAAGCTAGCTGCGTAAAATATAGACTATTCGTATAATATATAGATGCATTTAAATGTATAATTTGCAATATATATTACTAGTAAAAATATAAATTCGATAAAACGCATAGGAGAAGTTCAAACGTGCACATTATGGATGTAATAGACAACCTCGATTCATATTCCTGTTTAGAAGTTTACATAAAGTTAAGTATCTAGATTGTACAATCTAGCAAACAAAATTCTAAAGAAACATATTTCCTTTCATAATAAATAATGATTCATCATTCATAATAATACTAAATATTGATACTAACTGTTACTGTATTGATGTGTCAAGTATTTAGCTAATATACTAAGTGTTGTTATATTTAATATTATTTTATTAATTTGATATTGTCTTAATTATATTAATACCGTAAAACAATATCAAATAATATTTTTAACATAATTAAAAAAAAATATATTACATTATTAATGAAAATAATTTAAAACAATATTGTGAAACAGAGCCAAATAGTGTGTTATTAATGTGCACATTAATATTTTTCTCTAAATAAATTCGTACTTTGTAAACATTTTAATTAATGATTTTGATTGGCATAATGATATGAGGTTTTGAATTACAATACACGTTAGTTCTGTAATACAATAGGTTCTATTATACATAGGTTCAATTACCTTTATCAACACTATGCGACAATATACTTTGCACATTTTACTGCGATCGATAAGCAATCCAAGTGATTTATTATGCAGAGTATACTGGAGTATACTGGAGGTTTCTACAAAACTGAGAATAAGAGGTGGTCAATATTAATCTTATCATCTTAATTGATTGACGTTTGCATTAAAGATTAGCCAAAGTTATTACGACTGGTTCACTCGTGCGTAAGAACATTGATAAAGCAACAGTTATGATTTACGAAAATAAAAGTTACACGGATCTCTGAGAAAAAAAATGATAAAACGATGACGAATGAGTAAAAGTGCAACAAATAAGTAAAGTGGATTTTAATAACTATTGAAATTATGTGGCTCATTCTGTGTGCACGCATGCAATGTATGTATGTGTATATTCATATTAATGTTTAATTAATATTTTATTCAAGGTTTTGTTAATTAATGTATTCAATTTAAGATTTATTAATATGATATTTCTTAATTTCTACATTATATTTCATATATTATGTGT